TAAGCCAGATAAGGTAACAAACATAACGGGTAAAAATTATCAAGGAACTTAAACAATATTGGCACAGCTGGTCTAGTTTACCCTTGAACTGTGCTGTCACAGTCCACATTAGATATACCACTGCACACCAACAGCGTCTTGCTCCTTACGGGGAACAGGCAGTTAAGGTGCATCAGTGAGGTATAAACGTCTTGCAGCACAGAGAGGGGGGGAAAGCAAACGTGCCAGTGCTTGGATCTGCAAGAGCCACTGGTACCTGTGTGAGCACTCAGAGCATCACTTGTGAGCTCTGCGCCGGAGGAGCCTCCCCAGGGACACAGCTCTTCTCCCCATGGGAGGGTGGGGTGCTGTGCACGTGTTTCTGGTATCTCATGAGACATCTTAAATAGGAGGATGGGTGGCAAAAATAGAACATGGCATGAAAGCCAAATAAGAACGATTAAGTCTTTCTACAAAACCACAGAGCAGTTCTGGTTCTATAGCCCGGAGCAGACTGCAGGACGCCTGCCAGTTGTAACTGTACTGTAACCGTTCAGGAACTATCAGTGACATCCAAATGTTTCCTTTAACAATTCAGCACAAAACTATACGTGTACCACAACACAGGATTATTCTCCACTTTCACACTATCCAGCTAGGACAATATTGTTCAGGCTACCTGCCAGCAGCGCCCTGGAAAACATAATACAGAATTTAATTTCTGAGATGCAGCGCTGTCCCGACTTGTGTTTGAGGAGCTCCCTGCAGCAGATGGGACACCCGCTCCTGGAAGAGCCGATGAAGACCTGCAGCGCTGCTCTGCTGTGCCATGGGTTGAGAAGAGGAGATGAGAAACTTGCCCCAAGAACCATGGCAAAACCAGCCTGGCTTCGGCACATACAGAAAAGCAGCCTCTCACACAGAAAGCAGGGAACAGGAGAAGGAAAGCTAGCTGTCAAATTTCAATATTTAAAAAGATGCTTTTGTAAAATACCCCAGTAGGTTGAAAAATCCATCTGAGCTACTGGTGTGGATCACCTCGTAGAGACTGAGTGGAGCAGTACTGCTGGCTTTCCATCAGAATCTCCTGGCCAAGTTCTCCTTCAAATCTGAACTCCAGGGTTATTTCATCCAGGTTGTTTATGTCTCTTTTCTGCTGTGCTCATGCTGGAGGCCTCCCTTCAGCCACCACCAGTGGCAATGACTCAGAGCTACATTTTTGAGAATTCCTTTCAAGAAGGGAGAGGTGACCCCAGATCGCACCACCTGGTGCTTCATGGGCAACTGGATGCCCATGAAATGTGGTCACCTCTAAACCATCCACCTTTAGTGTGCCATCAGCCTTGCTGAAGGCAGAGGCAAAGCCTGTCCAAAAACATTCACCCCAGAGCAGGTGAGCTCTATGTTTAGGTATTTTGGCATATACTCCACTCAGTAGGATTTAGTCCCATGATGGTTCAAAGCCTGGGAAGCTGCACCTCCTAGCTCCGCAGAAGTCCATGGGCAGCACCCAGAAGCTTCAAGAGCTTTCCAGTACCCTCACAATGTAAAGTTTCACAGTGTAAAAGTGACAGCAATATTCTCCAAAAACTAACATGGACCAGGCAAGTTGCAGTTTTTCAGTTAAATACGAACATTGTCCTTTTTTTAATTAAGTTTTCTACTTTAATTCATCCTCCACCCATGGAATTTCAGACTGCATGCACATATTTATTAACTATTCTAATCAGGACTAAAAATATTTCAGAAAACCAAGCTCTTCTCAGAAACACCCCCTAAATTTGAGAGTTGGAAGGCTGAGCATCAGGAAAACATACACCGCTGCTGTGTTAGAGAGTTAATTTCTCATGCAGAAGGGCTGTATATTGCAGTCTATGGCCTCGAGACTTATTTTTCCCTTATAAATGCAAAGCACAACTGCAATAATTCTACCACAGACCATGAAGAAATTGATTTAGCAATCTGAACATAAATTAAGCAATGTTTTTGATTCAGTAAACTTGTTCCTATGTAGATGAGAACAAGTATTAGTGAAGGTCAGTGACCCATACCCAAGTATTTGCTTTCATGAAGTTCATACGAATTTTAGATCAGAGCACACTTCAAATTATTTGACCTGTAAATTAACCCTTTACACATTTTAAAGCAGTTTTAGTGAATTGCTAGGAGCTTTTCTATTTGTGATTCAATGTTTTAAACGCGTGTTAATGGAATTACATATTAATCAAGCCACAAATTTGGTAACTAACACACACTTCTCATGAGTAAGGAGCTCCAGATTGAACGAAGCCTAATATCGCTAAAAGGATTTCAGGTGATTTTTATTAATAAAAAATGTACTATGGCTAAACTATTTTCTGAAAGATAAACTGAACACATTTTGAAAGAAAACAGCAGTTATCCCAATTTCACTGACCTGCCTGAAAGCTACGTTCAGGGCTTCCAGATTCGTCTTGGTGTTTGGTGCCACACCGTATAAACACCAGTCTTTTGGAACAAGCTTTCTGTACAGTTACTTTTTTAAAAATCTGCATTATAAAATAGCTTCAAGGGATGTAAGTTAACTGCATTCTTTGTACATTAAAGATTTTAATATTCACACCTGTTATAAATTCTGTGCAAATCTGAGCAAACACATTTCTAGCTTAGATCCTTTCATCTCAAGTAAGATCAAGTATTTGGTACAATAACTTCATCGTTTTTAGAGGAAGATCAAATGACTTAATGTCTTTCAAGTAGTATAATAGTTCTACAATTTATGTTAAAATAAATCATTTGAGTAATGAATTTAATTCCTCAGAGTAACTTTTTCAAAAAATCAAAACTAATATGCATTAGTGAAGAATGAGATTTTTCTAAATGCAAAAGCATGCAAAATATTTAATTATTTTTAATAAAAAAAGCAAAAGTGATCTGAGACAATAAAAGAACGTGTTTAACAGAGCACCAGTGTACTGCCTGAGCCTACACAGCAACCAAATAGCAGTGGAGGTGCAGAGGGGAACGGTTTTTCTTCACTTTTACAGAACAGAGGGTGGATACCTCAAGGAAAAAGTACACCTGAGACAGAACTCAGAAGTGCAGAATCTCCAACTCCACTGAAATGATTTTCAAGTCCTGCTGAGCAGTGAAAGGCATCTTTTTAATTGGCTTAAACTGCTTTATCGAAACAATGCACTGTCCTGGTTTCGGCAGGGATAGAGTTGATTTCCTTCCTGGTGGCTGGTACAGTGCTGTGCTTTGGATTTGGGGTGAGAACAATGTTGATAACACAGCGATGTTTTTAGTTGTTGCTAGGTAGTGTTTACACTAGTCAAGGACTCTTCAGCTTCCCATGCTCTACCAACTGAGAAGGCTGGAGGTGCACAAGAAGCTGGGAGGGGGCACAGCCAGGACAGCTGACCCCAACTGGCCAAAGGGACATTCCATACCATGTGATGTCATGCCCAGTACATAAACTGGGGAAAGAAGAAGGAAGGGGAGACGTTCGGAGTGATGGCGTTTGTCTTCCCAAGTCACTATTACGCGTGATGGAGCCCTGCTTTCCTGGAGAGATGGCTGAACACCTGCCTGCCGATGGGAAGGAGTGAATGAATTCCTTGTTTTGCTTTGCTTGCTTGCGCGGCTTTTGCTTTACCTATTAAACTGTCTTTATCTCAGCCCATGAGTTTTCTCACTTTTAACTTTCTGATTCTCTCCCCCATCCCACCACGGGGGAGTGAGTGAGCGGCTGCGTGGGGCTCAGTTGCCGGCTGAGGTTAAACCACGACATGCACACAACTGTGGGTATTTGTAGATGGGATGTGACTGGGAGAAATGGGATTCTCCAACTAGAACAAAATCCTGAGGTTTAAATAGATCCAGCTGCAGCATGAATCCATCAAGGGCTCATCATTAGCCTGGCACTGACTAATGTGTCTGCCAGTACGTAAGTGTTCTAGGCAGTGGCAGTTAAAAAATACCAAAGTCTCCTTTCCCTTGCCTCCCCCACCATCTCCCACTTTCAGGCATTTGAGCAATCATTTAGCAAACCCATGATAATCAGGAACTAATTAAATAACTAAAATTGTTTCGGCATACATCATTTTCTTTTCATGAAAGTCACATTTCTGGATTTTTATGGCCCTGTTCGCATGCCTCAGACTCAGACATGTGAAAATCTGCGCCTACCCACATCTGTGCAGCAAACCCACACTGCGAGCTCTGGTCCAGAAAGCCACCGTCCCTGCTGGGGCAGCCTGCACCAGATGCCTGTCAGAGCAGGGACCTGCTTAATCCACATCACTGCAACGAAAGCCAACACTGTCACCTTCAGCACTGAAAACAGGGTCAGTTGCTTCTCCGCTCCCACAAGCCCAGGGATTGAACGCTGAAGAGTGCACTACCATCCTGCATGAATGCATCAGGAGTCCCACCTCCCCATCGAGCCAGGCATTAGGGGTCCTCTCCAGCTGGATCAAGATCACCGCCCCTCGCTATGGCCACCGTGCTCCCTTGGTCCCTTTCCGATTACTTTGCACTTCACAGGGGTTTGACATCAGAAAGCCGGGAGGGAAACGCGCTGGGCAGTAACTTTCTTGGTTCTCTCAGAACCACCTATGGCTCAGTTTTCCTTTTTTTAAGCAGCAAAAGGACTTTTTTTGGTTTCACCTGAAGGTCCAGTGACCCAAATGAAGAGCCAGGACAAAGTTTGCTTATTAAATTTAGTTTCATTGGTCCCAGCAGCCCCAGGACAGAGGCTACCATAAAGTCTTTGGGGCAAAGATGGCATCTCCACAATGGCCAGATGTACAATTTCACTCCCAGAACGATGGCAATATACTCAAAAAGTGTAAGAGCTTCTGCTTCACAGTTTGTACCCAATCACTGTTTCTTCGCCGACCTCCTCAGCAGGTGTTTAATACAAATATACATGGATAAGCCCTCACTTGTTTTCTGTTTTCACAGTACGGAAAGCCTGAACACAGCACAAAAATAGAAACACAAGAGTTGTAGCTGCAGCAGCAGCTGATGTACAGTACCTCTTGATGCAACCTCCCTGCGTCCGAATACAGCCTTCTGCTCCTGTCCACGTCCATCCATCCCCTCGTGACCGACGGGAAAACCCCAAGCAATACGAGAGATAACCAAAAGCTTCTTGATTTCATCATTTCACGTCTGTTGAAAACAAGAGAACAGTCATAAAACAGTCATCTGAAACCTCAGCTCAGGTTCAATAACACAGCGGAAGCTTCAGCTGACGGCACCCATCTGCGCTCGGTCAGTGCTGATGGAGCTTTGCAGACTCCCCCAGCACATGCAGCAAAACACTGATTTTCCTGTTTTGCACCCATCGGTGTATTGGTAATGAATTCCCACAGTGTAGCAGTTTTGTGAAATATTTACCTCAAAACTATCCTCCACAGGACATGCTGTTCCCAGCCTGTTCCCACACAGCACCTGCAGAAACGGAGCTCCGGATTTCTGAATTTAACTACCACAGCCAAGAGCAAACCACGTCAAAACACAAGATCATGGTACTGCGGAAGCCAAAGGATGGCTTTATCCCCATCTCCAGAACCCCCGGCAGCACAGGGTCGCTCACAGTCAGGGACTCACACTTGTACCCTCAGCGGATCTTCAGGAAAGCCCCAGACACCTGCGTTCACCTCTTTGACCGCTGGAAGCTTCCAGCAACGTGACAGAAAATATTATTCCCCTCAGATTCAGAGCATGATTCTGCCTCAAGCAGACACTGCTACCCCCTTAGGCTAAGCTCGCAGGGCCAGCCAGCGAGCCGGGGGGGTGTCTGACAGCTGACACCCAAAATGCAGGAACAGTCATTCTTCCCCCGGGTGAGGGCACCTGCCCACATGGTCACCAAACCCACTAAGGCTTGCAAGACCTGAAACAAAGTCTGTGCTGAAGAAGGCTGATGCATTTCTCCAACCACGATGTAGGTGACCCCACCGGGGGCCGTGATTTCCCCACTCATTTGCCTCTGTGCCAAACAGAGACATTTCAAACCCCTCCCAGGCTCATCCTGCTCAACAGCAGCACCATCTCCCTGGCAGTGCCCCACCACAGCCCCGCACCGGCCGCAGGAGACTGGGAAGATGCGAGCAAGGATTTCCACCACGACAGCATCCACTCGGAGCAGTGGTTCTTGCCTTGCGTGGTTTTTTGAATGAATTTGGAAGTAAAACCAACGCAGTTACTCGGTGTTGTCAGATGGAACTACCACGTGTTGCATACATGCATAGCCCCGCGCTGGTGCCCTGGAAGCTCAGCCAGGAAAGCTCTGTGCTTCATCTGAGCTTTTTTGGGAACAGGACACCAGATTGCGTCATTACTTTTCACATTAAAAATACCAAAGGAGCCTTCAGGCCTGGTAGCGTTTCCACGGCAGTGGAGGGAAGTTTTGACCTTTCACAGCGGCTGCAGAGGATGCTAACACGGACCCGTAACGGAGCGTAATGACCACTTAATGAAGCAAGCGATGGCATTTCTATAGCATGCAAGCGACAGGCTGCTGCTTGGTTTGAGCGATATACATTAACAAGGCAAGTTACCTGCTCATGGCAAAATTAAGCCTAGCTGAATTAAGTCACCATGACATACCTTGTTTCGACAGGACTCATTTTACAGCGTTTTCACGCCATGTATTTGCTGCGGGGTGTATCCAAGCCTTGGTGCATCACTATTAATTTTGGAGCCATGGCCGTTTACACCAGCGCTGACTTGGTCTCGGCTGCCCAGAGACACACCATCAACAGAACGAGCACAGCCTACAGCGGCCGCCCACCATGCACCCGGGGAGTTCAGGCATTGCTTTTTCTCAGCACTAATGTAAACACCCTGAATTGAGAGCACTCAGGATGAAATAAAAATTTATTAGGCTTTCTAAATTCCAATTAGAAACCTCAGATGTAATGTTACTGGGGCTACAAATAAATGTTTAATAATCCAAAGTCACTATATCAATAAGCGACAAGTACATTGTTACATTATGAATTGCTCTTGCACAGCAATACTGTTTCTCACGGTTTTTATAGAGATATTTTGTATGCTCAGTTGATACCATCACAGAAAATACAACTATTTCACTTTGCAGTTCGAGAGCTCTGACTCATATGCTGCTTCAAATTACAATCCTAGAGCAAAACAGGGAACTAGCTAGTTTAACGTATATTTAGTAAATAACTAACTGCTGGAAAACCTGATGGTGTTTGGATTTGGATGCCTATAACACTGATGAAACTGAAAGGGCAGCCCCCACCTGCTAGAAACTCCAGTAGTTTTATAAATGGAATTTGTAGAACATCTTTCTCTAGTCAGTTTAGAAATTACTTATTTTTATTGCATACTGACTGACAGTACACTAATTGCTCTCACTCATAGTAAGAGGAGGACACGCTAATATACATTATATATAGCCTAAACCAAGCAACAAATATGCACCATAAATATCAAGTGAGGGTCAACTCTGAAATCATCCAGCATTTTCATGTCACTTGCCATCCTCAACCATACCTCGGCATCGCCTTACCCTGAGCTAAGTGGAAGGCTCCTTGCAGAATCTGATCCGCAGCTGCATCATGCAATACAGCTACCAGATTGCAGTTTGAAGCTCCCCAAAGTCAACAGAAAAATTCAAATTGATTGAATAGATCCAGACCACCGCTGTAAACTCAGACGAGTTTTACTACCGATTTCCTTTCCTCACTTGGATGAGGCACAGATTTGCAGGATGTGAGCCTGTATGGACATCGCTGCCCAGATAAATTGAAACTTGCATATGGAGGTGCTTGCATGAAACAAGCTGTTGTACACAAAGGAAAAAATAAATTAACAACGTTTGGGGCTGAACGTTAGAAGCCTAAGAACTGCGGATGGAGGGGGAGTCCATCACGTACCTGCTCTTCGCAATGCGTGTGAGCAAACAGACAGATTTTAATCTACTGTGGAATGCAGAAATTAGTAACTGTAATGCAGATGCTAGAATTAAACCAGACTATTTTAAAGTACACAAAGTCGAGCATCACATCCATTTGCGGCATTTCCTTCGGTTTCAGGGGAATTACTTCCAAAGCAGTTTTGGCTCTTAGGTTAAAGAAGATGCTATGCAAAGCCTCAAAGTTTACCTAAAGGTTGCGGTTTCTTCCTCTGAGCTAGAACAGCATTACAGCCCTCCTTCCAGCAGGCATTGCTTTACCAAGAAACGCTACCACAAGCACAGCCAGTGCCGTGCTACGCACCGTTATTTGAAGAAGCTCAAACACGATGGCTGGTTTGTGCGCGCCGGGCCCAGCCCCGGGGGGACCGTGCAACACGGCCAAGCCCTGCAGGTGCTGTTGTGGCACCGGCAATTGCAGAATGCCCATCCCGAGCTCGGATGGGTTTGTGCAGACACCAACACGGGGGGGGGGGCCTCAACTCGCAAGAAAATTGGTGCAACGCCTCTGAGTGAAGAGGAGCAACAGCAAGCAGACGCAAGCCAAAGATAGAGGCACAGGTTTTAGAGCTGCTCAAGCAAAAAGGGTCACCTTGAAACAGGAAGGGGACTGATCACATCGGCCGTTTGAGTGGAGAACACCACAGTTTGTTTAAAGCACTTCTGCGACATGCTATGTGAGCTGTCAAACAGCTAGGTTGCTGCAGAGATCCCACAACTTTTTCCTCCACAACACGGAAGCTTTAAGAATTCAATTGCAGTGACTGTAATAAGAGTAAAGAATTTGCCAAAAGCGGTTACTGGTTTTGTTTTCAGGGCTACTTAAATTGCAGCTTCTTTTTTTTAGTATTGAGAAATTAATAGTTCACAATAGCTTTTAATAATTTCCAACAAGCTTCACATTAGAAAGAAAGAGGTTGAACTTAATTACCTGAAGTTATGACTGTTGCTATAGCAAAAGGAAAGCATTCAGACCAAAGCATTACCTCTGTATAAATTGGCTCTATTAACACCAGATAAGAATCTGGTCCTCAGTTCCTCTGCCATCAAGTGTTCCAATTGCTTCAGCCTTATCTAAACAGCATTTCTATGGCCTGCAAAATAATTTTAATGTCCATAATTCCTTGTTGAGTGCTACAAAATTAAGGAGAAAAATCCATTCTAAGATAACCTTTCAGCAAGGCATAAGGAAGCCAAATAACAATTTCAGTCAGCTACCTGCAGTATCTTAAGTAAATACTTAAAGTTTTGATGCATTAAGAACTCACTGGAATCAGCTGTGATGTCCAAGTACCAACCCGACATTTCATTTCAGCAAAGGCATACTTCGTTTGATCTTTAAATTCTCCAAGACACCTCAGTGTTCCCCGAAGAAATTTGGGGAACGCCAGTCCGGCAGGGATGAAGGACTGCCAAGAAGCTCCTAAACCTCACAGGTATTCAACCTCTGTTTGCAAGGCCACCTTCCGTGACGCTCGGGTACGTTTCAATCACAGGTTTGCCCTGAGGTTACTCTCAGAGAAGTCCCGTACCACCCCTGCCATCACCCTCCGGCTGGGCACCCAGCCTCAACGCCACCGGAAAGCCGTTTATTTCCACCGCGGAGAAGCCTTTTGGACAAGCTGGGAAGGCGGCCCGGTGCCTCTTATAAATAAAAACATCATCGCTGCCCGCCGCCGGCTACGAACTCAGCCCGCGGACGGCGGCACCGGAGGCTGAAGGTCGCCCGGGGCACGGGGGGCTCCCGCCCCGCCGCGTTACCTCCGCCCCGCG